CACTGCGCCACTCGGGAGGTGAACAGGTCCTTCAGCATGAATAGGGAAAGGCACATCTACGGGTAGGAGGGGAATCCCTAACTTAACACAAAAATTCAGATCAATAAAATTCCCAGCTGCGCCTGAATCGACTAGCGCCTTATGCTGGGAATGAGATGCAACCTGGGGGAATACTACAGGTATACACAAATGAGCAACAGAGAGCTCTGGGTGTTGGGCGCCTACTCACCTGGAATGACTCCCCAGTGCGTGCCCTGTTGCCTCGATCCCCTGGAGGCCCTCCCCAGCACCGAACCGCAGTGTGTCCTCTACGGCCACAGTTGGTGCAGGGGACGACCTCCCTCCCTCTCACCTCTTCTCTCTAGCGCCAGCACCTCCGAGCTCCATAGGGCTCGGCTCTGAGGTGCTGGGGGATGGAATGGACGGCCCCAACTCCGGACGTCCGTGGGTAGCCAGCAGGGTATCCAGACGGATTGACATGTCCACCAACTGGTCGAAGGTTAGATTGGTGTCCCTGCAGGCCAACTCTCGTCGAACGTCCTCTCGCAGGCTGCACCGATAGTGGTCGATGAGGGCCCTCTCATTCCACCCCGCATCCGCCGCTAGAGTCCGGAAGTCCAGGGCGAACTCCTGTGCGCTCCTCTTCCCCTGTCGGAGGTGGAACAGATGCTCTCCCGCCGCTTTACCCTCTGGGGGGTGATCGAACACAGCCCTGAAGCGGCGGGAGAACTCTGCGTAGCTGATGGTGGCGGCGTCTATTCCCCTCCATTCGGCATTGGCCCACTCCAAGGCCTTGCCGGAGAGACAGGAGATGAGGGCGGAAACGCTCTCGTATCCCGAGGGCGCCGGGTGTATGGTTGCCAGGTAGAGTTCCACCTGAAGGAGGAACCCCTGACACCCGGCTGCGGTGCCATCATATGCCCTCGGGAGCGAGAGCCGAATCCCACTGGACTCCGGAGCTGGTATGATGGGACTGGCCGATGGTGGTGGTAAGGTAGGAGGAGGTGTGGGCAGGCCTTCTCTTTCCCATCGGCGCAGCGTGTCCATGACGCCTTGCATGGCGGAGCCGAGTCGCTGGATCATGTCGTCCTGGCTGCTGACCCGATCCTCCAGTGACTCGGTTACCGCCGCTGCTCCTGCTGACTCCATAGTTGGTGTGTTATTCTGTCAGAGTGTGCTGATGTGGATGCGGTGGTGGAGTCAAGCGCAGGACACAGAGGATAAGTCAAGACGACTTTACTAACACTTGAAATAGTACACAAAATAAACGGCCTCAAAACACTGGAGGCGAACAAATACGCGGAGTGCGTAAAACAACACGAAGAGTCAAAATACGCGGAGTGCGTAAAACAACAACGTAGAGCCAAGGCACCGAACCTCTCCATACACGACAGGTGGAACAATAATACACAAGATACAAACATAACATAGGGGAACTTATAGGTGACATAATCAATACAGAATACGAAACAGGTGCACTAACTAGACATGACAAAACAAACATCGAAAACATCAAACGGTAGTAGCTAGTACTCCGGGGACGACGAACGCCGAAGACTGCCTGAGCAAGGAGGAGGAGCAGCCCCGGCGGCATCCGTGACAACATTGTAATCATTTAGCAGACGCTTTTATCCAGAGCGACATACAGTTATTTTTTATATAGGATATTATGTCAACCCATAGGAAATTATGTCACCCCATATGAGTCGGACGGCAGAGTGAAGGAAAAGCAGCCAACAAGTGCTCAGCATATGTGGGAACTCCTTTAAGACTGTTGGAAAAGCATTCCAGGTGAAGCTGGTTGAGAGAATGCCAAGAGTGTGCAAAGCTGTCATCAAGGCAAAGGGTGGCTATTTGAAGAATCTCAAATATAAAATATATTTTGATTTGTTGAACACTTTTTTGGTTCCTACATGATTCCATATGTGTTATTTCATAGTTTTGACTATTCACTATTATTCTACAATGTAGAAAATAGTAAAAATAAAGAAAAACCGTTGAATGAGTAGGTGTTCTAAAACTTTTGACCAGTAATGTAAATGTGGCAGAGGCATGCTTGTTACACAAACGTTGTTTCCTGCTGCATAATGCACCCCAAAGTTATACTTATATATCTGCCACAGCTCCAAAAAATGTGGCTTCCCTCTCACCTGCACCTTCGCTTGGGCAGCCGCCCCTCAAACAAAATGATCAATCACATTTCTCAATATATCAATCAATAGTGCTCAATTAGGAGCACATGGTAGGAGCATGCACAGTAATCAAGGGGATTTCTTAAGCACGCAAAAGAAAGAACCCTTTTTGGTTCCAGGTAGAACCCTTTTGGGTTCCATGTAGAACCCTTTTGGGTTCCATGTTGAACCCTTTCCACAGAGGGTTCTACATGGAACCCAAAAGAGTTCTACCTGAAATCAAAAAGGTTTCTACCTGGAAACAAAAAGCTTTCTCCTATGGGGACAGCCGAAGAACCCTTTTGGAACCCTTTTTTCTAAGAGTGTTTAAAGAGTAGGTCTATAATTTTGGTTAATTTTTGTGTGGAAGTACAGTTAGACCTAGGCCTAAGCTCATAAACCCAGAACCAAATATTGCATTGCAGACAGAAAGGCCATGAAAAGAGCCGACATGATTCTTTGATCTACATGTCGGAGAGACATGTTTGTTCCACATAGCATATTTCTGTCTGAATGTTCCAAAACGTTGTGTCCTACAGAACGAGCCCCAATTGCTGGAGCTCTGAATAACACACATGCAAATGTTCTTTAGTTTGGGGAGGAGTGGACCGACATGGAATGAACGTCAGCAGCAGGTCAAAGTTCACAGTTGATTTAATGTCTCTCCCAATCAAAACCAATGATAAAATCAACCAAGTTAGTGGAAGGAGGTTACACAAACAAAATGAAACAATTCAAACAAAAACATGGTCCAATGCAGGCAGAGGTAAGTAATAACTTTAACACAGGTCATTGCATCAAAATTATACTTACATAATCATTATAAAAAAAATAGGTATCCAAATGAGATCTGCCAAAGCTCCAAACAAACATGGCTTCCCTCTCACCTGCACCTTCCCCTGGGCGGCCGCAAATGGGTCAATCACATTTCTCAATGAATTAATAAATTAACAAGCTCTAAACAAGCACATGGGTAGGAGCATGCACAGTAATCAAGTGGTATTTTACGCACACACACATAACAGTTAATCATATTTGTATGTGTGTGTGTGTGTACAGTATGTGTGTGTACATGTCCACACGTGTGTGTGTCACGCCCTGGCTCTGGGGACTCTTTTATCTTGAGCCAGGGTGTTAGTTTATATGTGTAGTTTCTATGTTTCGTTTTCTATGTTCAGTTTCTAGTTCATGTGTTTCTATGTTGGCCGGGGTGGTTCTCAATCAGAGGCAACGAGAATCAGCTGTTGCTTGTTGTCTCTGATTGGAAACCATACTTAGGCAGCCTGTTGTGCACTTGTGTTTTGTGGGATCTTGTTCCGTGTTGGTTTGTATTGTATACCGAGGACTTCACGTATTGTTTTGTTGTTTTGTATTTTGTATCGTGTTGCTAGTACACTATTAAAGAAGATGTACGCATATCACGCTGCGCCTTGGTCCAATCTTTATGACGATCGTGACAGAAGATCCCACCAAAACATGACCAAGCAGCGTTTCCAGGAGCAAACGCCGGGTAAGGAGCTGGAGAGGTTGGCGATGGCCCAGGTGGGTCAATGTTGGTCCTGGGAGGATATGTTCGCGGGCAAAGGGCCATGGGCTAAAGTTAAAGCCCTGGCGAGAGAGGAGGTACGGCGCCAACAGTGTTGTCGTCGGACAGACGAGAGGCACCCCCAAGACATTTTTTTGGGGGGGCACACGGCATGGACGACGGGGCTGCTGGAGGCAGATACAGGGCGAGTTTGTGGACGAGGAGAGAAGGCCACCAGGTTACGGGGGCCATTGCTCGTTAGAGGGAAGGAGAGTGTAGAGGCACGGCGAGAGGTACTGAGGTGTGTTACCAGTCCGGTCCGGCCCGTTCCTGATCCCCACACAAGGCCAGTGGTGTGTGTTCCCAGTACGGTCCGGCCTGTTCCTGTCCCTCGCACCAAGCCTGTGATGCGCGTCGCCAGCCCGGCCCGGCCTGTTCCTGCCCCTCACACCAAGCCAATGGTGCGCGTCGTCAGCCCGGTCCGGCCTGTTCCTGCTCCCCGCACCAAGCCAGTGGTGCGCTTCGTCAGCCCGGCCCGGCCTGTTCCTGCTCCCCGCACCAAGCCTATGGTGCGCGTCGCCAGCCCGGCCCGGCCTGTTCCTGCTCCCCGCACCAAGCCAGTGGTGCGCTTCGTCAGCCCGGTCCGGCCCATTCCTGCTCCCCGCACCAAGGGACTCTTTTATGTTGAGCCAGGGTGTTAGTTTATATGTGTAGTTTCTATGTTTCGTTTTCTATGTTCAGTTTCTAGTTCATGTGTTTCTATGTTGGCCGGGGTGGTTCTCAATCAGAGGCAACGAGAATCAGCTGTTGCTTGTTGTCTCTGATTGGAAACCATACTTAGGCAGCCTGTTGTGCACTTGTGTTTTGTGGGATCTTGTTCCGTGTTGGTTTGTATTGTATACCGAGGACTTCACAATCGTTTTGTTGCTTTGTATTTTGTATCGTGTTGCTAGTACACTATTAAAGAAGATGTACGCATATCACGCTGCGCCTTGGTCCAATCTTTATGACGATCGTGACAGTGTGTGTATCCAGGCACTCCTCAGCAGGCACTCCTTACCCAGCAGTGTATGGAATCTCTCTTTCTCTTTCACTTAGAAACACACACACGCACACGCACACGCACACCTGGAACTTGGACTCATTGGTCATATATTGCACAACACCGCCGATCCCACAAGTAACATGACAAACTTACCTAAGTGCGTCAAGAGTATAACTTTTCAGAGTTCAGCTCAGAGAGGAAACATTTGCTGAGAACCAAGAGTTGGTCTACAAGACATTGCAGACTACCAGGAGTTGAAATGTGTCTTCCAGCCCTCGGACTGTTAGGGTTCTTGGGGCCAGTAGGGTGGGGGGCAGCAGCAGTGGTAGGGGGGGTTATATTGATTACGGTGGTTAAAAAGAACAGAGAGGAGAAACAATGGATTTCTCCAGGAACTCAACAGTGTTTTGATGACGAGCGAACATGGTACAAGAAGGAAAAGTCAAATGAAGCTTCTGGAGAAACTGGAAATGCTAGTAAGAAGAGAGAAGAACCGTGCCGTCATGACGAACATGATGATGACATAATAAAAGGTTACGGCCTTGGATATGTTGGCACATATAAAGAGTAAGTCTATCATTTTGGTTCATTTTTGGGTGGAAGTACAGGTAGACCTAGGCCTAATCTCATCAACCCAGAACCAAATATTGTGTGAGCAGAGTACTTCAGCCATCTACTCTATTATACTCTATTATATCTCCTAGATATAGGACAGACACGTCAAAACCTTATTCCTTAAGATAAACAATTGTACTGTCTTTTTTGCCATTTATGAATGTGTTATTCAATGCATTTCTATGGGCTATAGTAGTAAAGGCCAAATTCTATATTTTATCAAATCAAATCAAATTTGGGATACCTAAAGGGGACCTAAAATTCAAATTCAAATAGCTAAATGATCCATGCTATGACCATCTTAAAACAATTCCATACGTTAGCTTAGTAGTTATAATGGATGTTATAGATGACCATGGATCATTCCATATGAAATCAATCGCCTTTTTGTCATTAATCCTTTCCATGTTTGCCCATGGTAGAAGTGGTCGGAAAGTGACATTTTGGACCTGAATGCCAACATATTCAGGAGACCAGCCAGCCAGCCCAGCGGGAGACAGAGATACTCAAAGTTATTTAGCCACTATCAGTAGCGACCATCTGTAATAACCACACACATTTAACTGACAACTTAGTGTTACTTTCCTTCATTTTGTACATTTCGCATCATTCCATTCCATTGTTTCATTTACCTTTGTAGTTTCCTCTCTTGTAAACGCTTTCACGTTGGTGTGATTATTAATGGGGGTTGCTAGCAATAGTGGATTATATTTAACATAATACAAATTGTATAAATGTAAGTCGGGACATGTAATTAAATCATTATGGAGCAAACCAAACAGTAGCAGTTTGGTCTGTAACACAATGCAAGACTTGACCGCTGTCATTACATCACAGTTCCATGATCAGTGAGGGCAATTAGGGTAGACTTAGAAGACTATTGTACACTACTATTCTTCCTTCCAATATTACCATGGATTGAAGAACTGAATGTGGAATCTTTTTGGGGTAAAGGCTCTCCAAAGCTGTGTCTCTATGAAGTACAGTAGGTAGGATTTCTGAATAGGCCTACTTTCCTAGCCATAAATAATCTACAATGTCAGAGCGTATCTTAAATATTGCCTAGGTGCTGAAACAAAGACAAAAGTATATTTATATAGATTTCTTAAATATTCTGAATGCATTCTCAATACATTCTAGTCTTCTTGTGTTGAGTAAGGTTACCAGTATTTAAAGGGTTCTGTTCTGAAATATTAACTGGAAAGTGTTAACTCCAAACTCTTATGTTTTATAGAAAATCTGTCGGCCACGAGAGGGTGGGACTTTTAATGTTGAATCCAGATTATTCCGAGTGTGTAAGGAAGACACACCCAAATAAGTTGTTGTAGGCCCGCATTAGATAATCATTAAAAAGTAAGAGAAGTGGTTAAATCCAAACACTTAGGAAACGTGTATCTTTCCTAAGTCTGAATCGGGCCCTATGAGACATAGACACAAGATAGCCAGACAGATAAGCATTATAGAGGAAATTTGTCCATTCAGAATCACCATAGCCATTTCTTTAACCTCATCAGTCCTGAGGACCCCAGAAAAAATCACTACTGTAATTTATCTGCATGTCCAGCCCTTATATTTAGCCTCACAATTAAGTGTTTTACCAGTTTATTTTCAGGACAACCAGGGCTACAAGTAGAGCACAAAACAATTTGACATAAACAGTTGCATTCATGAGTTTAACTGATAAATGTCATTAAGAAAAATAAGGTCTGTCAAACAAAAACCTGATAAAAATGAAATTATAAGAATGCTGTAAGTACAGAAATTGTTTGCTCAGTGGGAAATGAATATTCAACTGGTCAGTGACAACTGTGTGGAGTTTGTAGTTTGTGACATAACTATGTGAGCTTATTACAGTATTATATGGATTTCCTATGATTTTCTATGTAGAAGAACTCCTTACCTTCTAGCTACTGTTGTGTAGCTTGTGAGCGTCGTAGGGCAAAACAGATTACATGCACATGTTTGTGAGAGTCTCAATAGTTCAAACTATACCAACGTTTTTGTGAGAGGAACCGCCCCCGGACCACTTCGGGATCCGCCCTTGTCTCACAAACACCACTCTAGCTCAGCTCCCGTTAATCACACAGACTAATGGTTGGTATCAATGGACAGAGAAGAAATAGAAAAACAACAAACACACAATGTTTAAAAGGGGTTAGAAGTCCCAAGCAAGCCAGTGTCATGATTAAAGTCTACTTTGATAGCTGAATACAATAGGCCTTTTTATGGATAGGCCTAGGACTTAATTTTCATGACAGCATGGATATAATTCCCTCTGCATTGACAAACTAATAATCTCGTCCACCAGCTGGCTCTCTGTTAAACCATATGGTTTCACAGCGCCTCAGAATGGAAGATCAATAGAAGTCTATGGCAGGAGCAGATGAAACAACCGCTGGTTTTAATTGGCTGATCTCTCAGTCCATCATCTAGCATAACCCTTAGAACACTGTGGACTTCAAACGCCAGCACCACAAGTGATTTAAACAAGGAAGTGAGTTTAGAATATCTGAGAAATACGCATTTTAGAAATAGTTTTCAATTGGGCTTCTCAAAAATAATATACAGTCGATTTTCGCCCCATCTAACACAACTGTCGCACGCTCGCTCCCCATTCCCGCCTCGAGTTAGAGCCAAGCCTCATAATCGTGTGATTCTCTCAGAATTTAAATTGATTAGCATTCCACTCAGTAAATCCACCCCCCCTAAATTCCAAATAGTCCCACACTGTTACCAGGCTCTATGTGGCAGCAATTCGAGCCGGGAGACAAGGTTAACAAACAAATGATGTAAACCTAACCTACTAATTCTTCTTCTCTCCTCATAAGTGACAAAAAATTTAGACCATCTCGGTGTGATAAGGAGAATGAAGGCATTACAGAGGCAGACCATATTCCACCAAAGGATTGTCTGAAGAAGGCCCTAAACGATGTACGAATGGATCGTCTCTTACAAGTGAATCCAAGGCTTCATGAGATGATCATGAGCCTTGTTTATGACCCAACTGGACAGAAACTGTTAACCATGAGGGTTCTTTACCAGGATCACAGAGATGCTTTGACCACTGGTAGTAGCAAGGAATCTAAAATATGCAGGTGAATGCTTTATAAATGCTCAAGGTTTTTCCCCAATGTGTGTACATGTTCCCTCCCCTTATAGATTGGAAATAGTTGTAAATCCTTGAGTGCAGGGTTTGGGTCAATTCAGGAAGCATCATTTGAGTTGAATTTGAATTGCAGGAAGTGGAATTTAATTCAAAGCAATTCAAGCCAATTTAACTGAGACGTGAAACATAAAAGTCTCATTCATTTGACAAATGTTTCACCTAAAGGATATGCCACTTATTAATGCAATGAATACACATACCATTTCAAATATTAGTTTGATTAAAACTCAGAGTATTTTTCTTTGTCATGAGATGTTAGATTGTTCCCTTCCATACTGCAGTGTTTGATGTAATGCATTCTTGCCAAAAAATATCAGATATTTAAAAATATTGAGGGATTTATGAATTATTATAGACATCCCACAATATGATCTTAGAATATTTCCAGACCACTGTAATTATTAAAAATTGTTTTAGGATAATTAATTTTAAAAATGTTGGCACACACAAATTAAATATATCACCCTTATGCTATGTGGCGTTGGTAACCATATATGACAGCCTGGTCTCATAGACTAGACTTAACATAGTGAATGTAAATCCGGGACACACAAATGAGTATGACATGTTACGTTTGGTATGGTTACATAAGACAGATGGTAACTTAAGGCAAAAACGAAAGTAGGGTGGTTGGTTGGGGTGGATGGGTGGGCATTTCGCATTTTAGCTAATTAGCAACTTTTCAACTACTTACTACTTTTTAGCTACTTTGCAACTACTTGGCATATTAGCTAACCCTTCCCCTAACCCTAACCTTAACCCTTTTAGCTAACCCTTCCCCTAACCCTAACCTTAACCCTTTTAACTAACTCTTCCCCTAACCCTAACCTTAACCATTTTAGCTAACCCGTTCCCCTAACCCTAACCCTTTAATCTGACTCCTAAACTTAACCCTAACCTTAACCTCTAACCCTAACCCCTAGCCTAGCTTACGTTATAATTTAATTCAAATTACATTCAAATTCTGCTTCCTAATTCCAAGAGTTGAATTGAAATTAGAGAGCAATTCTCAATTCAGAATTGACCCCAACCCTGCTTGAGCGGAACAAGTGTAAACTTCATAGGAAATGGGGGAAAACAGAATTGGGCTTATCATCCAGAAACAACTCCTTACCCTTATATTGACAGACTTTTCAGGTTGCAAATGATAAATTAACAAAATTCCTGAAAGTAACTGTTTTTTAAATGTTTCCATTGAGGATTTTGAAAGGCATATTCCTTTTCTTTGCAATCCTATTATACCTATCCCATATTTTCATAACACCACAAATTCCACAGGGGTAGGAGTAAGACGTTATTTCTGGACATGGCCTGTGCAGCTCCCCTGCTCTGTGTGTTCTCTTTAATGCTTACCCCTTCTGTTTTTCAGGTGGCTTTTGACACAAACAATTCTAAGCGGAAAAGATGATTGTGCAGTAAAAATGCTGAAGCAGGCTTTTATCATGGGTCATCCTATAGCTTCCCAGATGCTCAGATACGACGCTGGTAAAAACAATTAATGTATATATACACTACCGTTCAAAAGTTTGTGGTCACTTAGAAATGTCCTTGTTTTCGAAAGAAAAGCAATTTTTTGTCCATTAAAATAACATCAAATTGATCAGAAATACAGTGTAGACATTGTTAATGTTGGAAATGGCTATTGTAGCTGGAAATGGCTGATTTTTAATGGAATATCTACATAGGCGTACAGAGGCCCATTATCAGCAACCATCAGTCCTGTGTTCCAATGGCACGTTGTGTTTGCTAATCCAAACGTATCATTTTAAAAGGCTAATTGATCATTAGAAAACCCTTTCGCAATTATGTTAGCACAGCTGAAAACTCCTGTGTAGCTCAGTTGGTAGAGCATGGCGCTTGCAACGCCAGGGTTTTGGGTTCGATTCCCACGGGGGGCCAGTATGAAAAATGTATGCACTCACTAACTGTAAGTTGCTCTGGATAAGAGCGTCTGCTAAATGACTCAAATGTAAATGTAAAACTGTTGTGCTGATTAAAGAAGCAATAAAACTGGCCTTCTTGAGACTAGTTGAGTAACTGGAGCATCAGCAATTGTGGGTTCGATTACAGGCTCAAAAGGGCCAGAAACAAATAACTTTCTTCTGAAACTCGTCAGACTATTCTTGTTCTGAGAAATGAAGGCTATTCCATGCAAGAAATTGCCAAGAAACTGAAGATCTCGTACAACGCTGTGTACTACTCCCTTCACAGAACAGCGCAAACTGTCTCTAACCAGAATAGAAAGAGGAGTGGGAGGCCCCGGTGCAAAACTGAGCAAGCGGACAAATACATTAGAGTGTCTAGTTTGAGAAACAGACGCCTCACAGGTCCTCAACTGGCAGCTTCATTAAATAGTACCCGCAAAAAACGTCTCAACAGTGAAGAGGCGACTCCGGGATGCTGACCTTCTAGGCAGAGTTGCAAATAAAATCCCAGTGTCTGTGTTCTTTTGCCCATCTTAATCTTTTATTTTTATTGGCCAGTCTGAGATATGGCTTTTTCTTTGCAACTCTGAAGGTCAGCATCCCATAGTCGCCTCTTCACTGTTGACGTTAAGACTGGTGTTTGCTGGTACTATTTAATGAAAAAAAAACAGGGAAAAAATGCATACTTTCTTTATGAAACACCATTTCCACCACCATTTTTGTATTTTCTGATCATTTAGGATGTTGGACACCCTTAATTGGCTGAACGCTGTGTGCAACATCCTAAATTGTCTGAAAATACGAAAATGGTGGTGGAAAATTGTGTTTCATAAAGAAAGTATGCATTTTTCCCTGTTTTTTTCTGCCTTCTCACCATTAAAGCTAGTTAACGAGGTAAATGATGCTTTTGCACCCTGAATGGAGGATGCTTTTATATACGAGCCGTCTACGGGAGACACAAGTTTATTACCGGATATGTGCATCAAGTCTAGCTAGATGATAGTGCAGATCTAGCGCCCATGCATTATCGGATGCCTAGGCTAAATGTGTAGTTGAGAAGGACTAGTGTTTGAACCTATCACTAACATTCATTCTCTCAACATGTAAAAATCCCTTGTAAATGTGAAAATATGCACTCTTATTGTAGGATTTGTTGACGCCGCACTACGTACCGATGGTAAAGTTGACATGTCTGATGAAGGCACAAGGAACTACTACAGATATGGCTACACTGACCTGGTCGATGAATATCTCTACAAGGGGATAATCAACAAGAATCAAGCACAAGACCTCAAAATATGGGTGAAAAGAGAAATGCACCTGGACCGGGATACCCCAGAGTACAAGGAGATCCTTGAAGACATTAATGATTTACTACGACTGTTTTTATATGTTGTAGGCCTACTCTTACAGGACTATCCAAGAGTAAAGAATCAAAAGTATACCTTCCATCACGTAGTGATGATATTGTGGAGTAGCCTACAATTTCATGAATTTCATGTTGATCATCTAATTTTATAATTATAATGTTTTGCTTTACGAAATGATTGGTTGATTATGTGCAGCAGTGTGCTAGTGGAGCCAATCTGCTTACATTAAATAGCCTCTTGAAGCTTATCACTGTTTAAAGTCTCTTTCTAATCTACATTTACCTGGAGGTATTCATATTGACCACATTGGTAAATGTATAGACTTCCTGCAAAATGTATAGATTTCCAGATGTTCCACTTTTACTCAGATGGAAGCCTATGCAGCAATTGTTAAATGAATACTACCCAAATAATATGTAGTAGGCTATAAAATATATTGTTTTTCTCAATCATGTACAATACATTTTTGGAACTGTGTTGAAACGTAGGCCTATCTATCCCAGAACAGCAATAATGAAATTCTCAAATATACTGAACAAAAATATAAATGCAACATGCAACAATTTCAAAGATTTTACTGAGTTACAGTTCATATGAGGAAATCAGTCAACTTAAATAAATAAATTAGGCCCTAATCTATGGATTTCACATGACTGGGAATACAGATATGCATCTGTTGGTCACAGATACCTTACAAAAAATTGGGCCTCACAATGGGCCTCAGGAGCTTGTCACAGTATTTCTGTGCATTCAAATTGCCATCGATAAAATACAATTCTGTTCATTGTCCATAGCTTATGCCTGCCCATACCGTAACCCCACCGCCACCATGGGGCACTTTGTTCACAACGTTGACATCAACAAACCGCTCGCCCACACGACTCCATACACGTGGTCTGCGGTTGTGAGGCTGTTTGGACATACTGCCAAATTCTCTAAAATGACATTGGAGGTGGCTTATGGTAGAGAAATGAATGTTCAATTCTCTGGCAACAGCTCTGGTGGACATTCCTGCAGTCAGCATGCCAATTGCACACTCCCTCAAAACTTGAGACATTTGTGGCATTTTGTTGTGTGACCAAACTGTATATTTTAGAGTGGCCTCTTATTGTTCCCAGCACAAGGTGCACCTGTGTAATGATGTTTAATCAAATCAATTATGTTTAATCAGCTTCTTGATATGCCACACCTGTCAGGTGGATGGATTATCTTGGCAAAGGAGAAATGCTCACAAACAGGGATGTAAAAAAAATGTGTTCACAAAATTTGAGAGAAATAAGCTTTATGTGCGTATGGAAATTTTCTGGGATCTTTTATTTCAGCTCATGAAACATGGGACCTTTACATGGGACCTTTACCAACTTTACATGTTGCATTTATATTTTTGTTCAGTGCCTTAGTACCTGACTTACATATCGAAAATGCACTGTTAAGTGTTTGGTTCACGGACTACGAACACATTGTTTTCATCAGAAGGGAAATGTGTGAAATTGTATTCACTGTTTACGGCAATCAGTAAATACTACTGGACGAAATTCTAAATCATCCAATCAGTGTCATACCATGTACAATATATGGAAAGATCTAGACAATGGGGACTGTCTAATTGTTATGATTTTTTACAGTATTGCGGACATGCAGAGACGCAAAGAATTAAGCTACTTTTCATCTCCAAAATTGTGACCTTCCATTATAGAGCTTTGCTTTGGTTTGGATTTAGACCTATACATTCATATCAGTTGTGTTCCTCCATTGTATTCACCTTTCATTATTTCTATTGTGGATTGTGTTTCTGTGCAGCTATGGAAAATCTACAAAACTATAAGCAAACCAACCTTGGAATTGGATTGTGATGATACGGATGATTGAGTCCTGCACACAATGTGCTTATTTTTTATTAAATGTTTTTACCAGGAATAATATTTGATTTCATGTGTATGAAATTGTTTGGTGAAATTTGCATAAAAATAGAGTAGATGGCCATAATTTCGCACCTTTAGATAGTTGTGCTTCCAATTTTAATCATCATGATTTAGTGACCCCAAAAAAAGAAATACAAATAAAATGTGTTGATCTACACTTCCTGTTTTGTCTGCTTGGACTCGAGAGATAAGTATGGCTGCGTTAATGTTTTTGCAGGCAGTCATGTTCTTTTGAGAAGGCAACTACACTTTGAAAACTGTTTTGCAAAAGGCCACAAAGTTCTGTGTCTTGTGGACTCTTGTTTTAAAAGCTTGTAGGCGATTGAGAAAATTGAATCATTTCAATAACTAAGTGGTTGGAAAAAGCTTTCTGACTACAACCATGACTGGACAGAATATAGTGCTCAGGAGGACAGGCAGGCTAGCTCTTACCAGATCTGCATACTGTAACTATCCTAAACCTTCCACCTTCCATGAAGAGTGCAGTTGCAGGTTTTCACCTGTTGATGGTGCTGCCCACTTTGATAATATTAGTCCCTGGTAGATAGAGCGCCATGCTTTCTTTGTAACCTACAGTATGTTAAGCGTTTAGCTGATGGAAGATTTGTACATGAGAGGATGTATTTTAAATATTTTTTGTAACCTCAATAAATCAAAGCCATGTAACCATAAACAAAACATCAACAACAGAAAAATTGTAACAATGTAGCCTACATGGAGATGGTATTAGAGATCAGACAAGCCACTAGCCAGTTCAATACGCTTTTGTGTCATATCATTATTTCTGTGCTTTTGTGTCATATCATTATTTATGTGCTTTTGTGTCATATCATTATTTCTGTGCTTTTGTGTCATGTCATTATTTCAATGCTTTTGTGTCATCATGTTTGTTATTAATTCTACAAATCATCAAATAAACAGGTTATTCAACCATACAGCCCTTCTGTTATGAAGTTTCTCTGATGAAACCTCACCACCACACCTCTCTATCCATCTATCACATAGCTGCAACGTCACACTAGCATGGTACAGTAGTACAGTACAGTATGGTACCAACACCAGCATGGTAGACTAGTACAATACAATACAGTACAGTACAGTACAGTACAGTACAGTACAGTACAGTACAGTACAGTACAGTACAGTACAGTACAGTACAGTACAGTATAGTACAGTATAGTACCAACACCAGCATGGTAGACTAGTACAGTACAGTACAGTACCAACACCAGCATGGTAGAGTAGTACAGTATAGTGCCAAACCCTAAACAACAAGTCAGAGATGGATAACTGGGGGATAACTCTGTAAAACACTGCTGAGCAGATGTGTGTTTAACACCTCCAGCCACTGCTCCAGAGGAATCCCAAACAAAGGAGGGATTGGGGGCGCGTTCAAGCTCTCTAGTTCTTTATGTCTCTGAGGAGCAGGTGTGAAGCAACTCATTTCAAAGGACAGAGGATAAGAGAGGAAGACTTCAAAGGTGGCAGTGTAATGTATGGGATTAGGGGACAGGGAATGCAAACATGCATTGTCCTTGTGCTCTTGAAGCAGGTTGTCAACTAATTGCTTAATATGACTGATGTTGTTTGTTCGTCAACATAACAATAAATACCATCGGAATAATGTGTTGGTTTGATATCTAGGACCTTTAGTTAAGAGAGAGTTGTGGTCAAATCATAAATGGTCAAGTGATAGCATATTGAGTTTCAGACATGTCCTCTGGGGGTTCACGTTCATTTGTTGCAAATTGCAGATAGCCTACTCGTTTATATCTACATACACCATCAACTTTAACACCAGAGATAGTAGCAGTTGTGTAAAGTACTTAAGTATTTGGGTATCTGTACTTTACTTTACTATTCATATTTTGGACAACTTTTACTTTTACTTCACTACATTCCTAAAGAAAATAATGTAAAAATAAATAAATAAAAAAGGGTGCCTTCTGGTTTGCTTAATTAAAGGAATTTGAAATTATTTATACTCTTACTTTTGATACTTAAGTACATTTTAGCAATTACATTTCCCTTTGACACTTAAGTATATTTAAAACCAAATACTTTTAGACTTTTACTCAAGTACTATTTTATTGGGTGACCTTCACTTTTACTTCAGTCATTTTCTATTAAGATATCTTTACTTTTACTCAAGTATGACAATTGGGTACTTTTTCCACCACTGGATAGTAGTGTATTTGTGTACTTGTATCTCCAAAGCCAAGTTCAGCCATTTCTAGACATTGGAGAACCGTCTTAATATCATGATGGAGGAAACAAAAGGGCAGAGGCTTACACCGTGTCTGATCCCCTTACTGGGTCATTGATGATACATGTTCCTCTTCCTCTGCTACAAGCCTGTGACCCAAATGGCACCCTATTCCCTATAAAGTACATCACGTTGGACCATCCAGGGCCCATAGGACCATCCAGGGCCTATGGGCTCTGGTCAAAGATAAGGCTTTGGTGAAAGGTAGTGCACAAAATAGGGAAAAGGGTATCATTTGGGAAGCAGCCCTTACCCTCAGTCTCTAATTAATGTGGCAGGGTAATACTTTCCTCATGTCATGCCCCCTCATAGAGATGGCTGCTTGGGAACCTGTGCTGTGTACTGTCTCTGTAAACCTGTTGGGAACCTGTATTGTGTATTGTCTCTGTAAACCTGCATGGCACCACATACACAAATATCCCCAGGGGGCAAAAGAGAGGGGGAGGAGGAGGAGAGGGAAACAGTGTGCATGCATGTGTGTGTGTGTGTGTGTGTGCACGCACATGTGTGTGTGCGTGCCTGTCGTGTGTGAGAGAGGTAGTAATCAGGAGACTATATTGTCTGAAGACAGGGTCTGTAATGGGTGTGCCAGAGGATGCAGTTGGCATAGTGAGTGCCCATTAGAAGCGGGCAGGGGTATGGGCAACGAGGAACATCACAGCTGTATGTCCAGAGGAAGCCTCAGAGCAAGCCTCACAGCAAGGAGGAAGTAATAACCTTCAGATAGAATATAGTGGGACAGAGTGAAGCTAACTATTGTTTTCCTCCCCTGACCTTTGGGGCTTTTCTTCTCCTGACCTTTGGGGCCCCATTCTGATAATAAAGGACAGAAAAGCT